CATAGTTATGGATGAATGGGTTGGAAGGTATCCTTGAAGGCCTTTCTGCTTCTGGAAGCACATCTCCATTTGGACGCTGGGTATCTCGGATGCCTGAAATCAGACAGAATGAACACAGAGCAAACAGGAAAATTTCCCCTTGTTAAATCCCCACGTGGTCAGTGTTATATGTAAAATGATTAAGTTAGTGCTGGCGTTGGGTTATAAGGCCTAAGATGAGTCTGAGTCCCCTCACTGCTACCCAATTTATGGACTTAGGCCACCAATCACTTACTACCTCTCCACCCTCCGTCCCTTTCACCTTCCTCACATCAGCCTCCTTGCCTGTTCTCTCAACTGGCCGAGCATGTTTCCACCTCAGGACCTTTGCACATTGCTGTTCCCTCTGCGTGGGACCCTCTCCCCTCACGATAAAAGAAACTGCTTTACTTCTCATTAAGGACTCTTGGTTAAAATACCACCGTGCTTAATTGAGGCCTGTCCTTTCTGTGGCCACTGTCATCTATTAGTAATAAGATTGCAACCCTCTCCGCACCCTTCTTGATTCATTTTGCCATTAGCACTTCTCTCTATCTAAAGATATCAGAGTTTACTCTATTTTCCTTATTGCGCTTTCTTCATACCGACCAGATGCCTCAAGGAAATCTGTTTGAATACATGGAACAGATTGTATTCATTCATTACCATTATTTCTTTTCTTTTTTTTTTTTTCTTTTGCAGACAGAGTCCTGCTTTGTTGCCCAGGCTAGAGTGAGTGCCGTGGCGTCAGCCTAGCTCACAGCAACCTCATCTCCTGGGCTCAAGCAATCTCCTGCCTCAGCCTCCCGCAGTAGCTGGGACTACAGGCATGCGCCCACCATGCCCGCTAATTTTTTATATATATTAGTTGGCCAATTAATTTCTTTTTATTTATAGTAGAGATGGGGTCTTGCTCTTGCTCAGGCTGGTTTCGAACTCCTGACCACGAGCGGTCTGCCTGCCTTGGCCTCCAAGGATCCAGGTATTTCTGATGGAGAACTTTCTCAAGCTTATTGCCAATTTCCCAGAGTCCACCACATATCAGGAATGATAAATTAGGAGTTGGATTTACTGAGCATGCTATGTACCAAGCATGCTAAGCACTTCACCATGCATGATCTCATTTAATCTTCACAACAAACCTGTGTTAGGCTCATCAGTATACCCATTTATAGATGAGAACTTGAGGCTCAGAGAGGTTGGGCAATTTGTTCAAAGTCTCTCTGATTAAGCAGCAAAATTAAGTTATGATCATAGGTCTGTTTGATATGTTCTTTCCACCATAGTAGGAAATATACTTTTACATTTTTTTTTTTTGAGACAGAGTCCAGCTCACAGCAACCTCAAATTCCTGGGCTCAAGTGATCTTCCTGCCTCAGCCTCCTTAGTAGCTGGGACTACAGGTGTGCACCACCAGGTCCAGCGACATTTTTTCTATTTTTAGTAGAGATGGGGTCTCCCTCTCGCTTGAACTCCTGAGCTCAAGTGGTCCTCCCAGTGTGCTAGGATTACAGGTGTGAGCCACCTCACTTGGCCTCCATAACTCTTTTTTTTTTTTGAGACAGAGTCTTGCTTTGTTGCCCAGGCTAGAGTGAGTGCTGTGGCCACAGAGTGCTAGGATTACAGGCATGAGCCACCCCGCCCGGCCTACTTTTACATTTTTTTTTGTTTGTCTTTTTTTTTTTTTTTTTTTTTTGAGACAGAGTCTCACTTTGTTGCCCTGGCTAGAGTGAGTACGCTGGTGTCAGCCTAGCTCACAGCAACCTCAAACTCCTGGACTCAAGCGATCCTTCTGCCTCAGCCTCCCAAGTAGCTGGGACTACAGGCATGCACCACCATACCCGGCTAATTTTTGTTATATATATTTTTAGTTGGTCAATTAATTTCTTCTATTTTTAGTAGAGATAGGGTCTCACTCAGGATGGTTTCGAACTCCCAACCTTGAGCAATCCACCCGCCTTGGCCTCCCAGTGTGCTAGGATTACAGGCGTGAGCCACCGCGCCCAACCCATTTTTTTTTTTTAATTAATTTTTTTTGAGACAGTCTCACTCTGTTTACCCAGGCTAGAGTGCAGTGGCATCAGCCTAGATCACAGCAACCTCAAACTTCTGGGCTCAAGTGATCCTCCTGTCTCAGCCTCCCAAGTAGCTGGGACTACAGGCACACGCCACCACCTGGATAATTTTTTTATATTTAGTAGAGACGGGTCTCGCTCTTGCTTAGTCTGGCTTGAACTCCTGACTTGAAGTGATCCTCCCACCTTGGCCTCCCAGAGTACCAGGATTACAGTGTGAGGCACTGTGCCCAGCCGAAAGACATTTTTAGAGCCAGAGTCATGCTCTGTCTCCCAGGCTGGAGTGCAGTGGCACGATCATAGCTCACTGCAGACTAAAACTCCTAGGCTCAAGTGATCCTCTCACTTCAGCCTCCTGAGTAGCTGGGACTACAGGTGTGCACCACCATGCCCAGCCAATATTTTTTTTTGTAAGATGGGCTTCTTCAAAAAAAAAAAAAAGAAAAGAAATAATGGTAATGAATAATAAATCTGTTCATGTATTCAACACAGATTTCTTGAGCATCTGGTGGTAGAAGAAAGGCAATAGGATAAATAAGTAAACTCTGATATCTTAGATAGAGAGAAGTGCTAAGGGCAAAATGAATCAGAGAAGGGGAGAGGGTTGCAATTATATTAATAGATGAAGTGGCCAGAAGAGGCCTCAATAAGCAGGTGGTATTTTAACCAGAGTCTTAAGAGAAGTAAAGCAGTTTTTTATCGTAGGGGAGAGGGTTCCACGCAGAGGGAACAGCAAGTGCAAAGGTCCTGAGGTGGAAACATGCCTGGCAGTTGAGGAACAGCAGGAGGCTGAGTGAGGAAGGTGAAAGGGGAGAAGGTAGTAAGTGATGGGGCCTAATCCATAAATTGGGAGCAGGGAGGGGACTCAGATCATCTTAGGCCTTATAGACCACTGCCAGCACTTACTTTTTGCCTTTTACTCAGAATGACCAGTGGGATTTACAAGGGGAAATTTTCCTGTTTGCTCTGTGTTCATTCTAGTCTGATTCAGGCATCCAGAGTACAGCGTCCAAATGGAGATGTGCTTCAGAGCAGAAAGGCTCAAGAGTACCTTGCACCATTCATCCTAACTATGCTCTAGATACCCCTCCTTACAGGCATGGTGAGTGATGCCCACCGGAGCATAGATATCGATGTGGAGCCAGAAATCCCTGACCTTTTTCTCCTTCCCACCTGACCAGGTCTTCCTAAGGCCTAGGAAACTGCCCTGGGGGGTTTGGCTTTGATGGACTAGCCAGAGGAACAGAGATAGCTGGAACTTTTCCCAGGGGAAGGGGACTTCACCTCTACCAATTTCAACTGGTCTGTATTCCATGGTAGTACAATCAATGAGAAGGGATTTCAAGCCATTCTTTTTTATTTTTTCTTTTAAGAGAGATGGAGCCCCACTTGGTTCCCCAGGCTGGAGTGCAGTGGTGTGCAACCGTAGTTCACAAGCCACTGCACCTGGCTCCCAAGCCATTCTTCTTTATCTACCCATCAGTTATGCGAAGCAACCCAGGACCTTCTCCGAAAAGCTGCCAGTGTAAGCCATGCAAAGGAATCAGAGCCACATACAGGTGGAAAAAAAAAAAAAAAGGAATTCATAGGCATGTACATCTTACTATCCAGGCAATATATTCCAAAGCTAAATCAAAAAGACTTTTGTCCTGTGTACGGATGGAACCAGCCGTGAAAAAAAAAAAAAAAAAGACTTTTGATCCATCTGCATTCCCTCTGTTAACATGAGCATTCTAAAGTTGGTGGTGGGCCGGGCGCGGTGGCTTACACCTGTAATCCTAGCACTCTGGGAGGCTGAGGCGGGCGGATTGCTCGAGGTCAGGAGTTCGAAACCAGCCTGAGCAAGAGCGAGACCCCGTCTCTACTATAAATAGAAATTAATTGGCCAACTAATATATATATATATCTATATATATATCCATATATATAGATATATATATATATAAAATTAGCCGGGCACGGTGGCGCATGCCTGTAGTCCCAGCTACTCGGGAGGCTGAGGCAGGAGGATTGCTTGAGCCCAGGAGTTTGAGGTTGCTGTGAGCTAGGCTGACGCCATGGCACTCACCATAGCCTGGGCAACAAAGCGAGACTCTGTCTCAAAAAAAAAATAAAATAAAAATAAATAAATCAATAAAGTTGGTGGTAGAGAACTATGATGGAGGAGCCTGTTGTCCTTAGGCCACTAGGCCCCTATCTAATGCATTGGTGTGGACAAATTGCTTAACTCAAAATATCAGATTTTCCTAGGGAAATGTAAAGTTAGGACAATACAAACACAGGAAAATACGATTGTGCTTTTCACCTTCAAAGACAATCCCACCTTGATTTTGGAACCAAGATGGAAACAATGTTTACTAACTCTAATCACCTTTTATATCATCTCCTAGGTTTTCTGATCTTCAAACTTTTTATCAAACAAGAGCCTTTTTCTTGTTCTTCACTCTCATCTACCAAACTGGAGTGGTCAACTAACTTACCAAAACAAACTGCTCAATTTGTTTACGGCCCCTTTCTGCTGTGAATTCCCCGTGTGTGATCCATTTGATATTTTTGATGGGGTTGTCAGCATCTGCAAACAGGTGTGAATTTGTTAGTTGCCTGGTAGTGTGGCACTACATAATGAGACAATTGTTTAGGTACTCAAACAGGATTACTACCTTCCACAAACTTAACAGCAGCATCGATGACATCCTTAACTATAGCTAGAGCTATGGCAGTCACTTTGCTATCATCTTGGCCATCCAATTTCACTGTCTTCTGAATTTTGACATTTTTAGGCTCATTCATTTTCTTTTGCCTGGAAAAGGAAATTCAAGAAGTTACTCTCTGCACCCATGTGTGTGTATCTATCATACGTGTGAACACACTCATATAAGTACAATCTCTTGAAGAATCACAAGACACAGGAAACAGTTGTTACCTCTAGGGAAGAGATTGAGGGGTTAGAGTAGGAGTGAGATATCACTGTATACCTGTTGTGCCTGGCTGCTGAGATCTGCTTTTCCTGAAAACCAAGGTTTTTCACATTCTCAAAACTATGAAGACTTAAAATGGAAAAGTAGTAGAATGATTTCTAACTTGATGGAGTGCTAACAATATTGATTTCTAGTTGAGTTTTTAATAGAACCCCAATCCCTGCTACGAGTAACTAAGAGCATATGGCTCTTTAAAGATAGTGAAGTAAAATGATTAGCAGCATTATAGGAGACGAGGGGTTGGTTTTGCAGTTTTTTTCTCTTGGGTTTTCCAGCTACAGTGTATAATTATATCATCTCCAAGAAACTATCATTTTTACCATCTCTTTTTCAGAAACATATAGCTCTTATGAACATTAGCTTTGGTTAACACTTCCAGAAAAATGTTAAATGAAAAGTAGAGATCATGAGTATCCATCTTTTGTGTCTGACTTCAGTGGACTTGTTTTCTGCTGCTAGACCATTAGGTATGATGCTAGTTTGTGGTTTGAGATTTATCACATCAAGAAAATAGTTGTGGGGGGAGGGGGGCATGGGCAATACATGTAATCTTAACACTTGTACCTCCATAATATGCTAAAATAAAAAAACAAATAAATAAATAAAATATTTGCTCCTGTTCTAATGAGATTTTTATCATAAATGATAGCTAAAATGTTCCCAATGCCTTTAACATTGATTGACAATGTGAAAATTGAAGTTATCAGGGCTGTGAACATGGGTGCATCACAGCACTAGGAGTCTTTGCACATTTTCAGTCTTTTTTACATTTTTTCCCTCGAGTCTTAGATTCTCTTTCTTTCTCTGCTATTGCTTAAGTCTCTTTACTTATGAGAAATCTCTTACAGCCAACACAGTCCATTTTATTTTATTTTATCTTTTGCCAGAACAGTTTTAAATTCCTTACAGGTAATCCTTGCATTGGGGACAGGGGGCTGCATGAGAGTGAATATCTCTCTCCAAAACAGAGCCATTTATTTTCTATAAATAACAGCTCCCAATTTGGGGGTGTGCAATTGTTGTGTTTCATTTAGCTATCACCACAGCCCTATGAGATCATGCATTGAACACTTTCCATTTGCCCTTCCAGACTACTCTCCCCCTGTCTCTCCCTGCTCACTGCCCTGGAAGGCTAACCTGACTAGACCAGTGAATGAGCTCTCCTGTGCCCTGTGGCTTCCAGGAGGTTCCACACAATAAGGAGATCAGGCTGAAGGAAAGAGGGTGAGGTCCAAGTATATATCCCTGGTGGCTCTCCCCCAACAGGGTTGCCTGTAGCTGGCTGCATGGAGAAGGTCCCAGTTTCTCTCAGAACAGCTCTCTCACATGACTTCTCAGTCTAGTAAGGGTAACCATTCTTTCCCCTCAACCCTTTTGGCCCCCCTGTTACTAGCCCAGAGAGCTGCACTTTCCTTTGTTTCCCTGCACTCTGCCGACACCTTGGTAATTATTTCCTTTAACCCTTCTCCACTATCCTCATTTTAGCACACCTACAGTTTCCTACCAGGACCCTAAATCATAAACAGAAGACCTCTTGTCGCCATGTGAAAATGAGGAAACTGAGCTGCACACCCAGACTGTCTGGCTCCACAACCTGTGCTTGTAACTACACTGCTCTTCTGCCTCCAAGATTCAGAAAGGGTAGCGGGGCTGAAGCAGCTTAGGAAATTTCACCCCAAAATATGACTCCTTGGTATAAAGAGTATTTTGAATTAAGGGCCCTTAGAGATCAACAGGCTTTGGAAGGGGCTTTCCCTCTATCTGAATAAATCAGACTCATCAAAAAGAACAATTGACTGCCCTTCCCACTCCCTGTTATCTCAATGTATTGTAGAAAGATGATCGAGAATGCAACCAGGCCTGGCCCAAATCATTTTAAATATAAAATATTTCTTAATTATAAAATATTTTCTTTCTCTCTCAGGTTAATTTAATTTGCAAGGACAATCATTTACAAGTTAATCTGTTTCCCCCATTCATTCATCCTCCCTAGCAACCATTTATTGCCCCTAAATAGAATTACCTCTTTTCCTCCTCTCCCCCTCTCCTCTAAAAGAAAGGTATAAGCCGGGCACGGTGGCTCACGCCTGTAATCCCAGCACTCTGGGAGGCCGAGGCGGGTGGATTGCTCGAGGTCAGGAGTTCAAAAACAGCCTGAGCAAGAGCGAGACCCCGTCTCTACTATAAATAGAAAAAAAATTAATTGGCCAACTAATATATATAGAAAAAAAAAATTAGCCGGGCATGGTGGCGCATGCCTGTAGTCCCAGCTACTCGGGAGGCTGAGGCAGGAAGATTGCTTGAGCCCAGGAGTCTGAGGTTGCTGTGAGCTAGGCTGACGCCACGGTACTCACTCTAGCCCAGGCAACAGAGTGAGACTCTGTCTCAAATAAATAAATAAAAGAATGATATAAAAATTTCTGAACCTCACTGGGATATTGGGTAATCATTCTGTAATTCTCTTATTAATCTGCCTTAATTGTGAGTTGGTCTTTCAGTGAACTTTAGGAGGAAAGAGGAAATTTCCCCCACAGAGCTCTGTTCTCACATTTTCATGGAGTCTAGAATGTGCCTACCCTCTCCCTGTGAGCCTTTGTTTTGTTAGGGCCTAGGGACCATAGGTAGCCAATAACCAGTCATTAGCTTCTGTATTATGTTTGCTTAGTTAGGAGAGTGGGAAAGTTTCAGCTGACCCTTATCTGACTCTGCACCTGCCATCCCACCTCTGCTAGTGTGATTAAGTTTAGAAACTAAGGTGAAGGGCAGTGGTACATGGCACAACTGTCCACAAGATATAGCCGCTAGTCTAGGGTCGAAGTGCCTGACATCCTTTATGTACCTAGTGAAATGCGCTCGGGCTTAGATCACAGGATGCAGGATGTACTTCAACTAAGATTAATGCTGTCTGTAATTATGATACTTCAGAGGCTTCCTCTCGCCTGAATCTTAGCTGCAGCCGGTGACTCCTACAAAACCCATCTCAAAGCTCCAATCCCCCCCGCCTTGTGCTAAAGCAAGATAAAAATGTAAGATTAATGCTTTCTCTCACTTCTGTAAAAGTGCTTGCTAATTAGATTTTTAGAGTGTGTTTTTTTGCCTTTAAAAAGGGGCCGTTTTTCCACTCTCATCACTACTTTTCTGTGCCTGCCTCCTGCAGGACATGAGTAGTCCTGGCTAGTAAAGAAAGACTCACAATGTGGCCCAATTTGGTTTCTAAGGTGGTCTTTTCTCGCATATCGGACTATAACAGTTTGCTCTCTCAACATCATTATTGATCCCAGGGTGGTGAATACTGCACAAGACAAAACAGTTCCCATGAACATCAGTCCAAGAATGATTTGAACAGCCTGTGAATATTCCTGTAATAATGTTGACTGGTGTTCATTTAGGCCTTGACATTAGCATTTTTTTTTTTTTTTTTGAGAAAGAGTCTCACTCTGTTGCTCCGGGTAGAGTGCCGTGATGTCAGCCTAGGTCACAGCAACCTTCAACTCCTGGGCTCAAGCAATCCTCCTGCCTCAGCCTCCCGAGTAGCTGGGACTACAGGCATGTGCCGCCATGCCCGGCTAATTTTTTCTATAGTTGGCCAATTGATTTCTTTCTATTTTTAGTAGAGGTGGGGTCTCCCTCTTGCTCAGGCAGGTTTTGAACTCCTGACCTTGAGCAATCCTCCTGGCCTCCCAGAGTGATAGGATTACAGGCATGAGCCACCACGCCTGGCCGACATTAGCATTTTAATGCTGGGTTTGCCTCTGCCTGAGTTCCCTGTTGCTGCAGTTGGGGGGTAAACAGGATCATCTGCTAGGGGAAATGAAATCTTTCCAGACTGCCCACTCCAGAGCAGGAATGGCTAAAGCGTAGGGGGTGAGGGGCCTGAAGGCCCTTAAAACTAGAGAACTGGCTCTCCCTAGCCCATAGGTCATGATGATTTGGCCAAAGCAATTAGCTGTAAATTCCGTAGTTAAAGACAGCCACACAAAAGTTTTTGTGTGAATTGGTAAATTCAGTAGGTTTTGGTGAAGTAGCCATGCAGCAACTTGATCTTCAGAAAATTGCCCAATTGGTGGCTTGGTCATTCACTGACTTGGCTTTCAGCAAATTCCCTATTGATAAATGGACTAGAAACCAAATCTGTGACCTCCAACACTAAGCAAATGGGGTGGGGACTTCACGCATGGAAAGACCTCCTTACGACCTTCCCGGGGATCCCTGTGCTATAGCAGGTGAGGGAAAGTGGAGAGCAGGGCCCAGGAGGAAGCTCACTTTTTCTCCTCCCACCGTCTATAGGCAAACATCATTCTTAAGCCTCCCTCCTACTGGCCTTGCCTAGTTCTTTTCCTTCCCTTCCCTTCCTAATAAGAGGCCAGATGAGCAGGATGAATGAGAGGAGATGGGAGCATGGTCAGGTTTGGGGGCTGGGTAATGAATAGGGAGAACCCCTATAAGTGCTTTTTGTGGGCTCCCCCACCCCTTTAGGATTCACAGTACCTGAGCAACCAGATCCTTGTTTGAAGCAGTAGCAGTGGTAGCTGGGGAAGCCTCAGAAGGAGTCTCCAAGCAGCTTTTCCCCAAGATTCCCAGACAGAATGTTTACGGGTGCTGCCAGGGCAACACCAATTCAACCAATGGGAAGCAAAGCCCACAAGTTTCTGACTGTTTCTATTAATAAAGGCGGGTGAGATAGTGAGGGAAGGAGGAGGAGAGTCAGTGACTGCAACTGTCAAACCTCAATAGCAGGACAAGCTGTAGTAGCCATACCTAGTTTCTTTTTCTTTTTTCCTCCACATTCAGATCACAGAGACTTTTCAGCAGCAGATGAGCTTACAGAGCTGTGCCAGGAGGAGCACTGATGCTAAGCCTCGCAGCTGGTATGTTTTGGGTATCCTTATGATGTGGCAGGCACTGTGTTAAGCCTTCAGTGTCTGTTAAGTCACTTACCCCTCACAATGGCACCATAAGGTAGGTATTAGTACTTTCACATTACAGTTGAACAAACCAAAACATACAGAGTGTTAAGTACGTTGTACTAAACTCAAACCCAGAGATGTCTGACTTAATTGACTGAGCTTTTACTTTTTTATTCCCAAATTCTGAGGTTAGGACTGCCATTGTGTACTTGATTATTTTCAAAAATGTCTTTTATGAATCAAGGATGAAAGAGTATACTATAATGTGATCAGCACAGACACAGGAACAATTTACATGACATTTTTCTTTCTGTTTCCTTGTCTATAATATCAAATGGGGACAGTAATAATGCCTACAGAATAAGGTTTCTATGGGGCTCAAACCAGACAATTCATGTGAAGACTGAGCACAATGCCTTGTACATTATAAGCTTTCTCTATAATGGTTAGATATTCTTAGTATTATTAATAGTAATGGTATTATAAATAGTATTCTTTTAAATTATCTTAACTGGTGAAATGAAAAGTTAATGACCCTATGTCAGGACCCAGTTTTATTTTCTTAATTTTACTAGTCCCTGAATTCCCTGAGTCTCAGAACCCCTACTCTTAACCATGCTCCATAGATGGAGTGGCTGCTTACCATGAGACAATGGATCTCAATCCCAACAAAGGAAGAAAAGTGCCCTGTAAAGTGTCTTTATCCAGCAAGAAATGCTGAGTTCATTGCCTGGAAAGACATCACATACTTTAAGGTCCCGTACTCAGAGATTGTGCTGCGGACATGGAGTGAAGAGGTAGGTGAATGGGCATGGGAAGGGGAAGTGTGGGAGGTAGTGTGGCTTAGTAGGAAGAACGTAGACCCTGAACACAGATGGAAGGTTTCATATCCCAGCTTTGCCACATACTAGTGTGATGTTGTGACTTCAAACACATTGTTTCACCTCTCTGAGATTCTTGTGTACAATGGGGATATTTTTTTTTTTTTGAGACAGAGTCTCGCTTTGTTGCCCAGGCTAGAGTGAGTGCCGTGGTGTCTGCCTAGCTCACAGCAACCTCAAACTCCTGGGCTCAAGCGATCCTCCTGCCTCAGCCTCCTGAATAGCTGGGACTACAGGCATGTGCCCACCATGCCCGGCTAATTTTTTTCTATTTGTATTAGTTGGCCAATTAATTTCTTTCTATTTATAGTAGAGATGGGGTCTTGCTCTTGCTCAGGCTGGTTTCGAACTCCTGACCTCGAGCAATCTGCCTGCCTCAGCCTCCCCAGAGTGCTAGGATTACAGGTGTGAGCCACCACACCCGGCCTACAATGGGGATCTTAATGGTTACTTCACAGGGTTGATGAGAAGATAAAATGAGATGATTCATACAGAGAACTCAGATCAAGGATGGGCACACTGGAAATGCTTGATAAACATTAGTTACCACAGTCATGATGAGGACAGGACTAGCCACAATAGACAGAATCCAAAAGCAGAGGAATCACAAAGAAACTGCTATAACAGAGGGAATGGCCTGAAAAAGGGTAAAATGTTTTGCGGGTTGTCTCTTTAACCACCCCCACACACACTCTTTTTGGGAATTAAAAACTGCATCCCTGCCTGAGGTGAGTAATCAGAGGGGCTGGGGAGTGTTCTTTGTACCACAGGAGATGGCTCAACAGAATTGTCTGGAAAGAGGTCATGAGAGTGTCTTCACAGGAGATGCTATAGTTAAATAGCAGTAGCCCGAAGCTGTATGAGGAGAAGTGGCTGTTGAGTGGAACCTTAAATTGTTATACTGTCTTACAACTGGAATTACTTTGTCGAAGGTCAGGTAAATTGGACAAGACCCCATATATAAAATCTTTCATGCAATTGGATAATAAAGAGTCTGAAAGGCTGGGTGATAAAACTGGGGAGGAATTAACCAGGTTGGATCCAAACCTACCACACTCCCTTGCCACCAGCTCCCCATCCACTGGGGAAGGCACCACAGGCTTGGCCACACTTGAGCTCGTACTGTTGGGACCCCACTGTTCTGTCCACTGCGGGCCTTCTCAATGCTTTGGTTTAATTAAAACAGTTGGATTCCGCTGGCCTGCACCAGTTCTTAGTTAACTGCTGGGTGCTGGCTGAGGCAAGGTGCCACTCAGAACTGCCGCCCCAAGGGCAGACCCATTGGCTGGGGGGAACCAATCCATGCCAGGCCCACCAGGGCAACTGCAATAGCCATGGGGCCTCCAGTGTGGTGGTCACGGAGTGCACCAACGGGAGCAACTTTCCCGCCACCAAAGCCCTGCAGATGGCCTGGTAGGCAGCCCCTCACAGAGTCAGGCCCGGGGCAACTTCTGCTGCCCACAACCGATGCCAACTTGGCACCACGAGAGGGGCAGGGGAGGGAGCGACTGGAACCTGTTCTTCAGTCCCATGCCCACTAGGTTATGACTTGGGAGTGGGAATGGTCTCTCCTTCTAAGACCTGGCAGGAAACTCAATTTGGCCAGAGGGTGCCCATAGCCAAGGCAGGGCAATTTCCATTTCAGCAATATCAGATAGGGGGCTTGAATGTGCAAGATCAGCCTGCAGGGTATTATTGGACTTATACAAAATGGAATCCTAAGGCCAGCATGGTGGCTCAAGCCTGTAATGCTAGCACTGTGGGAGGCCAAGGCAGGTGGATTGCTCAAGGTCAGGAGTTTGAAACCAGCCTGAGCTAGAGGGAGACCCCGTCTCTACTATAAATAGAAAGAAATTAACTGGCCAACTAAAAATATATAGAAAAAATTAGCCAGGCATGGTGGCACATGCCCGTAGTCCCAGCTACTTGGGAGGCTGAGGAAGGAGGATTGCTTGAGCCCAGGAGTTTGAGGTTGCTGTGAGCTAGGCTGACATCATGGCACTCTAGCCCAGGCAACAGAGTGAGACTCTGTCTCAAAAAAAAAAAAATGGGAGCCTAATGCAGACCATCCCTCTGAATTTTGGGAACACATCTATCAGGCATATGGGAAATATGCACATGCAGATCCTGAGGCCCCTGGGAATATGCACATGGTTAATATGACTTTTATAGGGCAGAACACTCCAGATATAAGGAGAAAGCTGCAGCATGTGGAAGGGGTAACTGGTATGAATCCCTCACAATTTGTTAATAGTGCCTTTAAAGTATATAACACTAGGGAATAACAGAAACAGAAACCTATGTGTTGTCTGTTAGCTGCACTAACCAAGGGTCCTTTGAGAACAGTCAAAAGGAAAGGGTGGAAAAAGTTGCCCCAGGTTGAAATATAATCAGTGTGCTTTTTGTAAAAAAGGAAGGACTTTGGAAAGAACACTGTCCAAAATTGCAAAGGGCTCCAGGTAAAAGGAAACCCCTGGGAGAGAAAATGGTTTTTTGAGTCCAGGACTCAGATGACGAAGGAGGGGGCCCAGGGCCCCCTGCCTTACTAGTGGCTCCAATCCAAATATCCTCACAGAAGACCCCGGTATGATTGACAGTAGGGACTTGATTAGCACCAAGCCACATGGGCAGAAGCAGTCGAGGTCCTCCCCCTTGGCTACCTCCCTGACCCCCTGGCACCAGCTATGCATGGTGGCACTCTGTGAGCCAGGCAGGGGATGGGGGCTGGGCAGCAGTGACTGAGGAACTCATCGCTGTGGGCCCAGGAGGCAGGCCCCAGAGAGCCACCACCGAGCTGGTGCTGCTCCACTGCTGACTCTGGCGACCCCTATGTCCTTGGTGGCCACACCAGACCTGAGTGAGCAGCAGGAGCACCAGGAGCATTGCCAGAAGTGGCAGAAGCTCACCTCCGAGGGTACCACCAAGCTCTTGCTGGCTTTGAATACCAGGGCCTGGTGAAGCACACAGGAGGTTGCCACTGCAGAGCAGTTCATTTTGAAGTTTGGGCCTCAGCAGACTTGCACATTGTTGACTGCAACTGCAGGTTTTGCAAGAAGCAGCAAGTACTTTTCCTCCTGAGGTCTACCAAAAAGTGAGTAAGGCCATATAGGCTAAGACCCCAGGACATGCAGAAATAACTTAAATTCCTCATAACAATGAGTGTAGATAGATACACTGCTGGTCGGACTGCAAATTAGTTCAACCTCTATGAAAAGTAATATGGAGATACCTCAAAGAGATAGAAGGAAATCTATCATTTGATCTAGCAATCCCATTACTGGGCATCTACCCAAAAGAACAAAAGACATTCTATAAAAAAGACATTTGCACTCAAATGTTTATAGCAGCACAATTCACAATTGCAAAGATGTGGAAGCAACCCAAGTGCCCATCTATACGTGAGTGAATTAATAAAACATGGTTTATGTATACCATAGAGTTCTACTCAGCCACAAAAAAAAACAATGGTGATCTAGCACCTCTTGTGTTATCCTGGATAGAGCTGGAGCCTATTATGCTAAGTGAAGTATCACAAGAATGGAAAAACAAGCACCACACATACTCACCATCAAATTGGTATTGACTGATCAACACTTAAGTGCACATATAGTAGTAACATTCATCGGGTGTCGGGCAGATGGGAGGGAGGAGGAGGGGATAGGTATTTCACACCTAATGGGTGCAGTGCGCACAGTCGCGGAGGTCCTCTAACTATGGCCCTCGGGCCACATGTGGCCTGCCAAAGACATTTACCCAGCCTGCTAGGTGTTTTTGCCGCTGCTGCCTGTCCTGCTTAGCAGCCCACTGGTCCCGGGCCCACAGTGCGCATGTGTGGAATGTGCGCTGCACTCTCCAACGGCCCTCCAACGATTTGAGGGACAGTGAACTGGCCCCCTGTTTAAAAAGTTTGAGGACCCCTGGTTAGGGGATGGACATACTTGAAGCTCTGACTCAGGTGGGGCAAAGGCAATATATCAGAAGGGCAGGGGAGTTTTATTCGTTTTGTGTCTTTTGTTTTCTTGTACCACAGAAGATGGCTCAACAGAATTGTCCAGGCAGAGGTCACGAGATTGTCTTCACTGGAGATGGGATGGATCAGAACCATCAACTAGTTTTTTTTTTGTTTGTTTGTTTTTTTGAGACAGAGTCTCACTCTGTTGCCCAGGCTAGAGTGAGTGCTGTGGCGTCAGCCTAGCTCACAGCAGCCTCAAACTCCTGGGCTCAAGCAATCCTGCTGCCTCAGCCTCCCGAGTAGCTGGGACTACAGCCATGCGCCACCATGCCCGGCTAATTTTTTCTATATATATTAGTTGGCCAATAGTTTCTTTCTATTTATAGTAGAGACGGGGTCTCAGTCTTGCTCAGGCTGATTTCAAACTCCTGACCTCAAGCAATCCGCCTGCCTCGGCCTCCCAGAGTGCTAGGTCAACTATAGTAAAATAGCAATTGCCTGAAGATGAAAACTCCACTTTAAATACTCTGTATTGGCTGGTCCGATGGTAGTGGGTTATCAGAACTTATTCACATTAGTGTCACTAAAGTTGGTATTCAACCCCCCACTGCTAAATTTGACTGGCTTAAAAAAAATAAATAAATAAATAAATAAATACTCTGTATTTCTGCTTATAGATGAGACAATGATACTTTAAGACAAGAGTCTGCCATTCTCCTCATTTGCTGGCAAATTAATAAACTTCTGTTTTCTTTTCCTCAAACCACTATCCTCATGCCTCTGATGCAGCCTCAGGGACAAGTGCCAGAGCTTTCAGTAACACTAACTCCCAGTGGCCGGGCGCAGTGGCTCACATCTGTAATCCTAGCACTACGGTAGACTGAGACAGTAGGATCGTTTGGGCTCAGGAGTTCAAGACCAGCCTGAGCAAGAGTGAGACCTGTCTCTACTGAAAATAGAAATAGGCCAAGTTCAGTGGCTCACGCCTGTAATCCTAGCACTTTGGGAGGCCGAGGCGGGAGGACTGCTTGAGGTCAGGAGTTCGAAACCAGCCTGAGCAAGAGCGAGACTCTGTCTCTACTATAAATAGAAAGAAATTAATTGGCCAACTAATATATATAGAAAAAATTAGCCGGGCATGGTGGCGCATGCCTGTAGTCCCAGCTACTCGGGAGGCTGAGGCAGGAGGATCGCCCGAGCCCAGGAGTTTGAGGTTGCCGTGAGCTAGGCTGACGCCATGGCACTCTAGCCCAGGCAACAGAGTAAGACTCTGTCTCAAAAAACAAACAAACAACAAAAAAACCCCACTAACTCCCAGGGAGATAAGGAAAGCATACATATGAGTAACAATACTGTGTTAAAGACTTTTAGGAGAATCCTGACCTTTGTCCTCCAAAGTTAACTGACTAAGAGCAAAGAAGTTTTACAACTTCCTAAGACCCTCACAGATGCCCAGATGTCTGCAGTCCCCTGGGCTCCCCCAGTTACCTCTTGTAACCCAACCACCCCACTTCCTTCCCTTAAGATAAAAAGGAGCCTAAAGTTCTTAGCAATTTTAGATGGCTCTTTGGGATGTTAGTCCACCACCTTCTTGTTTTGTTGGCTCTCCAAATAAAAGTCATTTTCCTTGTCCCAACACCTTGCCTCTCAACTTACTGGCTGTCCTTTGCCAAGTTGTATGAGCTTGACCTTGGTTGCAAATTGAGGAAAATCCAGGGAGATGCCTCCAAGCAGGGGTGGTATATATCTGAGCATAAGAAAGAGGGGATGAAGCTGAAATCATGGCCCTCTCTCCTGAGCCTGGAATCTATTCTTCTCCACCTGTGTCCCCACAGTCATTTTAATTTCCTCCCAGTGACTTCCCTCTGCTCTCTTATTCTCTCATGCTCACTCTGTCACCTCTTTCCCTTATTTATCTTCTTATTCTTTCCCCTGCTCTCTCCTCTTTCATCCTCTGCTACCTATGCCTGGCAAGACTGGTGCCTCTTGGCTGTGAAACCCAGGCGAAATGCTGACATTCTCTTTTTGTGCAATGAACCCAGTCAGCCCAGCACATATATTTTTTAAGTGCCTGTAAAGTGGACAGGTGGCAGGAATTGTGAGAAGCTAAGACAAGGTTTCCACCCTCAATACACTTACAATAGAGTTGAGAAAATAAAGTGTGCCCATATGAAAAGATAACTAGCATGTCAAAGCAGGGGACAATGAAATGCTTCCTGACTCCAAACGAGGCATGCTGGATTTGGGCAGGTTCTAAGCAAGTGTGGCTGAGTATTGTCCTTCAAGTCTAAAAGGCCACCAGACTGCCTTGGGAAGAGGGAGGAGGTGATAGGAGCCCAGGACCTTTCTCAAGCTAAGGCCCATTCTCCAACAGTAAAAGCCACAGACCCAGTACTGTGCTAATCAGGCAGACCCAGCTGGGTGAATCCCTAAGTCGTGATGTCGCAAAGATCCCTTGGAATGTTCTAGCAGTCTTTGAGCATGAATGCCTCATTGAATAGTGCTTTGCTCAGAACAAAAGTACTATGGCAAAGCTGTTCCTGGATAGCTGGATTTTTCGTGGTGATGCCTTGATGTCCTGGTCCATAGTCATAACTAGAGTGGGCTGCTGTCATGGACACTGGATGAAAACATCAGGGTTGCCCTAGAGACATGACCAACCCAACCCCAAATACTAAGTTCTTAGAGGTTAGATTAAAGAGGAGGCTTCTGGGGGATGGCCTGTTTTCTGGCCTCTAGAAACAAGTGTGTTAGGCTTAGAAGGAAAATCTATCTGCTGAATGAAACACTCTCCAGCCACATGGCAGGTGGCTCACAGGAGGATAGGCACAGTATACCAAAGAAATTCTTTGTTTTCCTTTTTATTATTATTTATTTATTTTTTTTTTCTTAGGAGCTTCTTATACCGGGATACCAAAGAAATTCTTAAACACAGAGAAAATATTTTTGTTTTCTTGGGGCAGTAATGCTCCCAATGTTTTCCCTACCTTCTTTATATTGCCTTTGGGATTATAGTTTTTGGGGGGTCATAATCAAAATTACATGCTTGTTTAAAAATCTTATTACCTAACTACTCTCTAGCCCAAATATAATAATTGGTCTTTCCATATTTTCTGGAACTGACGAAGGTACCTACCAAGAAACAAAACAACGAATGATGCAAATGTGTTCAAACTAATAAAGCAATAGTTACATGGGTTTTCACAAGTAAGATCTGCTGAGCCATTTTCTTGGCGATGCCCTGAAAAGAACAGTTATGTGTCTAATCTTAAATCAAGATTTGTGGAAATCGGCCAGGCATGGTGGCTCACGCCTGTAATCCTAGCACTCTGGGAGGCCAAGGCGGGTGGATCGCCCAAAGTCAGGAGTTCAAAACCAGCCCGAGCAAGAGTGAGACCCCATTTCTACTAAAAATTAGAAAGAAATTAATTGGCCACCAAAAATATATAGAAAAAATTAGCCGGGCATGGTGGCACATGGCTGTAGTCCCAGCCACTCGGGAGGCTGAGGCAGAAGGATCGCTTGAGCCCAGGAGTTTGAGGTTGCTGTGAGCTAGGCTGATGCCATGGCACTCTAGCCCGGGCAACAGAGTAAGACTCTGTCTCAAAAAAAAAAAAAAAAGATTTATGGAAATCCTAAAAGCAATTATTTATTGCAGAAGAGTCTTTGGGGGTGGAGAAAGGTATATTACAGCCAACAGCATAAGACACAGTGAGTACACAAAAAGCCAAAGAAACCCTTAACAAAGATTATGCAAATATAGCAAAGGATTTATTCTTTTTTTTGTTTTTGAGACAGAGTCTCACTGTGTCACCCGAGCTAGAGTGCCGTGGCCTAGCTCACAGCAACCTCAAACTCCTTGGGCTCAAGCGATCCTCCTGCCTCAGCCTCCCAAGTAGCTGGGACTACAGGCATATGCCACCATGCCCGGCTGATTTTTTTCTATATATTTTTAGTTGGCCAATTAATTTCTTTCTATTTATAGTAGAGACGGGATCTTGCTCTTGCTCAGGCTAGTTTCAAACTCTTGACCTTGAGTGATTCACCTGCTTCGGCCTCCCAGAGTGTTAGGATTACAGGCGTGAGCCACCTCGCCCGGCCTAGGATTTATTCTTTATAAGAATTTCTCTCTCTTTTATCAAAAGTGCATCAAAATATGAAGGTTATAAGAACATTCTCAACCCCAGGCTCCATATGCTATAGGCCACAAAGGTCTGCTCCAGCTTCCCCTGGAAAAGAATATTCTAGAGTATGAAAACCTCAGAGATGTAATATTTGGTCAGGAGGGAGTGGATGAGGTTGGAGGGGAACATTACACAAGTACACACAGACCCAAACCAATAAGCCAAATGCCAATATCTTTAGATAGCTAAAATCCACATGTACATACTTGGTACAGAAAAAAAAACTTGTAATTGTTCCACATGTCTTGTTTCTCACAAAAGTACAATAGAATAATTTGAGTTCTCAGACCACAGAAGCAACAGAGTGATAGGGAATCTTGAAAACCACATGATGTGTAACTCTTATCCCCCACCCTGTACCTTCATCTAGAAGCCTTTTGGTGAGAATGGCCAGCTTCACCCTCACCCACTCACCAACTTCCCTTAGCATACAGCAAGCAGCAAGAGCTGAGGGGGTAACCAGGCACTCGGTTCTCACAGTAGCATTAACCTGCATTTTTAGCTGTTTTCAGAAAATATCTTCAGGAAAATTCGTCTCTTCATTGAAGTTCCTACTATCTGTTGTCTTTGCAATGCTCTGAGATTCCCTCGTGTGATCACTCTAACAGGGAACCAAAGACCTGGCCTGAGGGCCCTCCTGACACCTTATTTGTGTAAGTCACTTTGGGGGGGTTGGAGGTGGACTGGAGAGCAGGTAAGAGGGGTGCTCATAATGTGGGTCCCTTCCACATGCACAGGGCTATACACTTACAAAGTACTTCACATACATGAGACTATCTCAGAAACTCAGGGACATATGCCGAACACATACTATCCTCACTTCAGAGATGGGAGAGCTGAGGCTCAAATCAGGGATGTGACCTACCAAAGGTCACTCAACCTGCAGATGGGGGGGCTTCCTGACATAAAGTTATTCCCAACATTCTGTGTCTCCACAGCTCACATCATCTATTTGGGAGAGAAAAAAAAATTCCAAAAACCGTCCAAAAAAAACCCACGTTCTGTGCCTTCTCCACCTACGGCACATCACAGAGTAAGTTGGGATATTTCCTTGGAAAAACAAATGCCTCCAGAGAAGGGACAAAGTTCAAGTTTATAGATCTGAACTGTAATGAAAAAAAGAACCAGGATGGGGAGGAAGGAGAGAAATTGTTCCCATATATTCTTGAATCAGTAGGAATTAAAAAAAAAAACTTCTTAGTGTGTACCTTAATGGAGACTCTGCTACTGTTTTTTGGGGTTTTTTTTTTTTTTGAGACAGAGTCTCACTTTGTTGCCCAGGCTAGAGTGAGTGCCGTGGTGTCAGCCTAGCTCACAGCAACTTCAATCTCCTGGGCTCAAGGAATCCTGCTGCCTCAGCCTCCCGAGTAGCTGGGACTACAGGCATGCACCACCATGCCTGGCTAATGTTTTCTATATATATTACTTGGTCAATTAATTTCTTTCTATTTATAGTAGAGATGGGGTCTCCTCTCGACAGGCTGATTTCGAACTTCTGACCTCGAACGATCCGCCCGCCTTGGCCAGAGTGCTAGGATTACAGGTGTGAGCCACCTCGCCCGGCCTCTGCTACTGTTTTCAGGGTTTCTCAACCTCTGCACCATAGACTTTTTGGGCTACCAGACTGTCCTGTAGGGTTGTCTTGTGCATTGTAAGATGTTTAGAAGCATTGCTGGCTTCTTTCTACCCACTAGATGTCAGCAACACCTCTCCCTCCAAACTCCTCCTGTTGTGACAAGAAAAAAATGTTTCCAGACATTTCGAATGTGCCCTAGGGGACAAACTCAGCTGGTTGAAAATCAGTGTTTTTAAATTACCCTATGCTGAGCAGCCACGCAGATCTGATGTGTCCATGTCGCCACATTACTTTCCTGCTTCCTGCCCTGAATAGGCTCCCAATTGCCCTTGGGAGAAATTCTCCCTGAGGGCAACATACAAGGCCCTTCATGTTCTGGGTCCTGCCAACCTCTGCAGTCCCTCCCTCTACTCGAACTTTGCTCTCTCTGCTCTAGTTCCGCAGAACTGCTTACAGAGCTTTCCCACACAGCCATCCTAGTTCATGTCTCCAATCCTCATGCTGTTCCCTCTGTTTGGAATGTCCTCCCCCCAGTTGTTTCTCTGGTAAACCCCACCCAACTTTCAAGACTTGGCTTAGTGTGACATTCCCTGGAAACTTACCCTAAGCCCTTTCCTTTTCCTGCAACCCAAGGCTGAGCCCAGCCCCAACTCTGTGCTCCCACGGCACCTGCAAACTTCTGCCACAACACCTATCCTTCATGTAATTGTCTGTCACTCCCACTGACTGTGAGCTGGAGGACAGGACTGTGTCTTACTCAAATCTGAGGCACAGTGCCTGGCCTGGAATGTAGTATTTACTCAACCAATGATGTGAAGCACAAAGAACAGTTAAAAGTATGCTAGTTTGGGAGTCAAAACACCCAGGATTCTAGGCCCAGTTCTGCCACTGGCTGGCTAAGCAATCACTTCCCATCTGTCAACCTTATTTCTTCATCCGTGGAATCAGAGTTTAGACTAAATGTATAAGGGTCCTTCTAAGTTTGAATTTTTGATTGTAGAATTTCCTTTTTCATAAACATTTCATTTAAAAATGTTTCCCTTTCAACCTGAGAAAGCTAAAACCAAACAAATAAATAAATGTTTCCCAGACAAAGGGCAGGGCCATTCTTTTCCTCTCCCTTCTGAATGTGCATGGCTTCCTCTATCTTTTTTCAGTTTTTTCTATTTCATTTGATCCCAGAAATAACTATGGAAGCCTGGTAAATATGATTTCATAGAATTCCAATCCCTGTAAGCAAAAATATTTTTTCTTCCAAAGAACTTTTCTTCCAAACAAGAGGTCAACAGTATGTGTTAGATACTACCACTGCATAAAAATCAAAGATGAACTTGTTTAAATTTATACGTGCATAAAGAAAACCTTTGGGGTGGTGTGAATGGACAAGTGCTGGGCAAGGGATTAGAGCAAGTCTTTTCACTACGTTATATTGTTGGATTTTTGAGCTATGTGAATAACATTTAATTTTTAAAAAAATAAAGAATGAATAAAACCAAACAAATGGCATTGCTTCCTAAGCAGCACTTCACCAGGCCTTAAGAGCAGGTGACAGATGGATCCAAGGTCAGTGGCTAGACCATAAATGTTAGAGCTGCTGTAAGAAAACACTTCTAATTGCACTTGCAAAAAAAAAAAAAAAATCAAAAGAAATCCAGACTGCATACCACCACCATAATCTTCTAGCTTCAGGGTGTTTTAATCTGATTTACTCTCTGGCAGTAGAGTATAAAAATAAAATTCAATTTCTGAGTAGATGCTACAAAAAAGGGAGGTGAAGGATTTGGATCCTAATTCTAAACCTGACCAATTCTGATTTCTACCTGTCATTTTGTAGCTCTTCACTATACAGACCTGACATTCATCTAAGGAGATAAACTTGGCAGGGCAAAGTGACTGATGCCTAGCACTTTGGGAGGATGAGGCAGGAGGATCACTTGAGGCCAGGATTTGAGACCTACCTGAACAACATAGTTGAGACCTTATCTCTAAAAAGATAAAAAATAAGAAAAATTAGCTGGGCATGGTGGCACACACCTGTAGTCCCAGCTACTCAGGAGGCTGAGGTGGGAGGATTGCTTGAGCCCAGGAGTTTGAGGTTGCAGTGAGCTATGATGATGCCACTGCACTGTAGCCTGGGCAGAATGAGACCCTTTCTGGGGGCAAGAGGAAGAGTTAAACTTAATTTATGATCCCTGCCTAGAGGCAAAGTGGAGAAATAAAAGACCTAAAAATCAATAGATTTAGGATTTACTAATGTCATCATTACATCTTCTAAATCCACAACTCCTCATGTGAACTATGTGCCCTCTTTCTCCCTTTCTAAGGATAGTTCTCTTAACAATTAAATGAGGCCTGTGAAGTACTAAATAATAATAGAGGATATATTAAGTTTGAAGTGGTGGTTTTCCTTAAACAGTAAAAGGTTATTGCCTCACCATCACAGGGTGGCATAATATAGACTATTACTCTAAGTATGAAAGCCACTTCCTTCCTTCTGTAAGCCCTGCCCTGTAGTGAGGTCAGTGGAAATCATACAATGCAGGTATGTTTAAAGTCATGATTAGATCAGATGTTAAGCTGGATAAAAGATCAAAATGAAAGTAGACATCTTGATGTCATTTGTGATGTTGCTGTATACACATTGAGTATCACCATCTTCAGAGTAGTTATACCTTTTCAGAGCTCCATAGTATTTAGTTATGTTTAATGTTGAACATGTAACTCTTTATTTCAAGTGGTCAGTATACTCTCATTTTAATAAGCTAAATGATTGCTATTGCTGCCCTATTCTAAAACAAAAATCAATGCTTAATCATATGCTATGGTTAGATACGATGCAAAATGCATGAAAGCTGAAGTGCAATCTGTTTTAAAAGTATCCTAACCAAAATTTTAAACACTATAGCATCTACCCAGAAAAGGAACTGAAAAAAAAATTTTCTGTATTCTCCTAGCCATCTCTGAAGAGTGTTTTTAAAATATATGAATCTATTAAAATGGTGCCAACTACAATTTATGAAGTAGTAGGTGCTAGGCACAGAGATAGGTGCTTGGTATACATAATATCTATAAATATATAAGCCTCACCGTTGTCTTCTAGTTTTTTAAATGATAAGCTACATGGAGTAGATTGCTTGATCTTGTATAGTATATTTAAAAAAAGAAATGCCTTTGATTTTTCTGTCATTTTATTTTTATTAAGCATTATATAACATACTGCATGCTACATAATATACTGTATAACCTTCTAGCAGGAGTAGATGACCATTACTGAGTTATTTTTTCATCAATCAGGAAAATGTTGCTTTAATCAATGTTCTCCAAACCCTGAAAAACAGTTTAAAAAGGAGAATGTGAGACTTCTGTTCCCACAAAAGATGTATCATGTACTTTTAATTCTAGTGTTACAAAATGGCATTCTGTTATTTAAAAAAGTGCTTTCACATCCCAAATTTCTCTAACTGCAATAATACATTGGATTAAATTTTATAATCACTAAAGAATAACTTGTAATGATTTCTGACAGCAAACATAATCACTTTCATTTTTTGAAAGCAGCAAACATAAACACTTTATGTGAAAAGACCCTTCCCCCAGTCAGAACTAAAGTCAAACAACTATTTATCACCTGGATCCTTACACAAAGCACCCTCAGTGAGTCAGAGGACAATAAGGTAAAATCCCTTTTATAAAATAACAGCCAACATGAGGTAGATAATATTATCCTCATCCCACATTTTTTTTTTTTTTTTTTTTTGAGACAGAGTCTCGCTTTGTTGCTCAGGCTAGAGTGAGTGCCATGGCATCAGCCTAGCTCACAGCAACCTCAAACTCCTGGGCTCAAGCAATCCTCCTGCCTCAGCCTCCCGAGTAGCTGGGACTACAGGTATGTGCCACCATGCCCGGCTAATTTTTTCTATATATATTAGTTGGCCAATTAATTTCTTTCTATTTATAGTAGAGACGGGGTCTCGCTCTTGCTCAGGCTGGTTTCGAACTCCTGACCTTTAGCAATCCGCCTGCCTCGGCCTCCCAGAGTGCTAGGATTACAGGCGTGAGCCACTGCGCCCGGCCTCTCATCCCACATTTTTACAGATGAGGAAATGGAGGCTCAGAGAGGTTAAAAGTCACTTGCTTAAGTCCCTAAGGAATTAACAGAGCCAAAAATCAAGCCCAGGGACCCCAACTCCAGAACCTTTGCTGTATAAGCACTACACTAATTATTCAAAAGACCCACTGTATCTTAGTTCACAACCAAATACTTCAGAAGCTATAAATTAAAAGATTCATCAGTGATGAAAATGCTATTATTTGGCGATTTCTGACCTACAAAAAAATGGTAATTTCACACAATTCAAATATAAAATTATAGTAATTCTTGGCTGGACGTGTGGC